CCAGTCAAGGTTTTCTCTTAGGTCATTAGGTCTTGCGGATTAGAACCTGAGATTAAAACTTTGACAACTATGATTAAGGAACCGTATTGCTAACATACTAACACGCACAAATAGACATACATATACAATCGAGCAAAAATAACAGGACAAGTATGAAAGAAAATTAACCAAACCACTCTATATTGATCAATCTAAGTTTTTAATTTTCATTTGGCTCAATTGAGTCTATATATTAAGTAAGATAGAGCCGGATAGTGTTCTTGGCCTTGTGTTAACGTGAGACTCTTACAGGAATTAAACCCAGCTCTGATGATGTCCATTATATGATGGACGGAAGCTCCGCACGTTTTCATCCGAAATGAGGGAGGAAGTCTTGTAGACTGCGTCAAAATGAAAACGGCGGTACGAGATTCATCCATCCTTATCTGGTGAGATCGACCAACGAATCTCTTCTTTATTTACTTTCATGCGAACTGAAAGTCCCTCTATCAATTAATTGACTAGGTGATCGTTTTATCTAATATCATTTTCCGTTGTCCATCTCTCTTACGATCATATACTCGATCAGACGTGAATTCGAGGTTACACAATCGCAGCGGTGTCTCTGCTTAGTTCATCAACATCTAGTCTAGGATTAAAATTATGCTAGTTCAGATTATGGAGTCACGGCTACTGGTTTTTATTGCGCATTATAGTTTCAATCATTGTTTTTATTCTCATGTTATCTTACTTTTTTACTGTTTTACTTTTCCTTTCTTAGTTGATGGCATTCGGTACGTCGTCGACGGTGGCTACTGCAAGTTGAAGGTTTTTAATCCAAAGATCGGTATGGATGCACTTCAGATATTTCCTATTAGCCAAGCGAATGCTAACCAGAGAGCTGGTCGTGCTGGCAGAACCGGACCAGGGTATTTATATTCTAAATATTTATTCTAAATTACTTAGTGGATTTGGCAATAGTAACTTAATGCGCAGATGGGCCAGGTTTGTGGATTTAAAAAATCAGAATTGACTGAACACATGTCTCAAACAAGTCACCATATAACCTGATTTAGGGCGAATCGATTCACAGTATATGAACATTATATAGGTAAGCACAAGATTAAGGATATAAAGACCAAGATTGGTTGGCTTTTTATCTGGTCGCAGTCTTCCTTAGCTTTATAGTGTTGGTTTGACCTCGTGTTTGCAAATTGCCCTGGACAACAGAGAAACCTCGTAAAAGCTACCTAGTCTTGGGTCCTCTGCCATGCTATTGATGATAATTTCCAGCATCGGATCGTTAACTTGGTGTTTGCAGCACCTATCTGCAAGCATATTGGGGAGGCGTGAAATAGCCAAAACAATCATAAGGTGTCTCATCAATTGAAAAAGATCAGTCTACTGAAAATAAGTAGGATTGTAGTCGGTCTTCCTCTGTCCTAGTGCCTGCTAAAAGTTGGCAAACCACATTTCACGATTTCTGCCAAGACGACATATAGACATCTGAGACCGGCTATTATAAAAATCATATTGCTATTCACATTCATCTTTATTTTATTTTATTTTTATCTATTTTCCTATTCGTTTTGTATTTTTAATTAATCTAAGGCAAAATTTAACGTTACTATTGCACTTCTTCATTATTTTATATTTTATTTTGCTTTTGTATATCTACAGAGTTTGCTACCGACTATACACTATTAGTCAATATCAAGAAGAAATGCTGACCTCAACAGTGCCTGAGATTCAGCGTACAAATTTGGCTAACGTAGTACTGCTTCTTAAGTCCCTAGGTGTACAGGATCTGATGCGCTTCCACTTCATGGATGCTCCTCCACAAGACAACATCCTTAATTCTATGTACCAGTTATGGATATTCGGCGCGCTTGACAACACTGGAGCCCTAACTACAATGGGCCGTCAGATGGTTGAGTTTCCATTGGATCCTGCTCTCTCGAAGTTGCTTATCGTTTCTTGTGACATGCGTTGCTCCGAGGAAGTTCTCACCATTGTTTCAATGCTCTCTGTTCCAAGCATATTCTTCCGTCCTAAAGGAAGAGAGGAAGAGGCAGATGCTGTCCGCGAGAAGTTCCAGGTAGAATTTCAGTTTTGTTTTTTGTTAAATTCCTTGCACTTCTAACAGCACTACTGTTGAAAATGATTCGCTTCGGCAAAATTATTAACTTTTGAATTTGAAATTTTCCCAAACACACTTAATCTCTCCTAATACGGCGACGTATCTATCTACTGTGCGAGCCTTTACTTTATATGACTGAACGATCTAGTCTGGTTTAACCATTTTTTCAGACTAATTGCTATCTAACTTTTTAAATTTTTTGATAGCCAAGTAATTTATTAATTTTAAATCTTTGCTGACTTATCATTTTGATTACCCCTCGCCTAAATATTTAGTGTGCATAACATCGTTCTTCTTAAGTTCGTTTTTTTCAGTGCAGAACCTTCACTAATCGGCCACCAGATTAATCTCAAATATTTGCAAGATGTGCCTATACCTTAGGTAGATACATATAGATAACTGTCCTCCATAATTAGCTTTTGAGTGAACTCCTCTGATGAATGAATGACTTCTCATTCAATGTTCTTAAGAATGTACTGATGTCAAAGCGTCAAGATGCTTTTGACGCTTCTATGATTTATTCAAATTCCACATAATAATAGATGCTAGAGAGGGTATCTCTTCGAAAAATTCTAGCGAAATTTTATGAATCTGAAAAAAATGGGTAAACATGTCAGTTAATTTATATCTCTGGCTTCGGAAGGCCAAATGCTTGTTATTTATCACAATGAGAGGGTCGAATTCATTTCAGTGCATCTCCTCTCATAGAAAGAAGTGGATGGTCTACCAATGAACGTTTATGTTATTTCTACTGTAATAGCATATACAAACTCGTTT